ATAAAAAACGTTGAAAAAAAATTAAAAAAAAAAATAAATAAAGACGAGCAACGCGGAGTCACGTTTTACCCTTTCAGCAAACTTGCGGGGGAGAAGCTTACCGCAGCAACAGTGGATAGTCAAGGCTTGCCTACATTCGGGGACGTTTCTTTCCTTCAGATTGCACTGATGTTGCCTGGGTCAGCAGTGAACTCTGGAAACCCTCACAGAGAAGTGACACTCTTCATTCATTTTCATTGATTTTCCAATTTCAGTTAAACTGTGTCTATCTTTCGGGGGGGGGGAGCTGTTTATGCATCGTGGCTAGTAACGCTTCATTCACCTCCCATAATTGCGTATTTATTGCAAGTTGACAAAAACCCGAATGAAGAGATCATGAGCTTAAAACACATCTGGCCCCCCGATAAACCTTAAAAATGGAAGAATCCACTATATTATCACTTTGGTTTATAAATAGAGACTTACAACACGTATTCTGTCAGTAAAAATAGACGCTGAGCTGCGGAAATCACTGCATTGCATCTATGCCTTGCAAAAATCTGCAAGTGTCTTTGGGAGAATTAGGGGTTATGGGAAAGCTGGTGCGTGTGTGTGTGTCCACATGCGTGTGCACATGCATGCTGGGCAGGGAATAGACAGAGGTGGAAAGTCATTCCTTGCCTCTGAGGAAGACAATGAATCGAGCAGTCATAAAAACATGGAGGGCTGGAAAGGGAAGGGAGACAGGACAAAGGAGAAGGACTCCGTACGTTCCTTGCCCCCCGCCGTTTGCCTACCTTTAACTAGTAACGATGACATTTTCCAAGTGACAGCCACAGTTTCAATAAAGATCTCATCCTCTCCCTCCCTTCCAGTAAGTTCTCTTCCTAGCTACTGATTCCCACCCCCGAAGGGCAAAATCTTCCTTTCCAACGCATTCTTGCCTGTACCGCAAAAGACGTATAATGAAGATTGTTAGCAGTGCTCCAACGGTGCTTGGAGCAGTGGGGCTAAGACACGCAGAGGATCGCAGCATCTGCTCTCCGTTAAGTTTACAGTCGAGGCCACCAGAACTTTCTGTGACGGTGACAAGATTCCATACCTGTCCTGGCTGATGCATTTTTACATTTTCATTTCAATGAATGCAAATGAAAATTTAAATAACTGCACAGGACTAGTGGCTACTGTGTTGGGCAGTACTCTAGACCCAGAGGAAGGGGTATTCTTTTTTTTTTAAGTTTGTTAGTTAGGTTATGTATGTATGTATGTATGTATGTAGAGAGTGAGCGAATAGGGGAGGGGCAGAGAGAGAGGGAAAGAGAGAGAGAATTCCAAGCAGGCTCCAAGCTATCAGTGCACAGCCTGACATGGGGCTCGAACCCATGAACTGTGAGATCATGACCTGAGCTGAAATCAAGAGTCATATGCTTCAGTGACTGAGGCCGCCCAGGCACCCCAGGAGGGGGATATTCTTTTTTTTTTTAACTGTTTTTTAATGTTTATTTATTTTTGAGAGGGAGGGAGAGACAGAGAGAGAGACACAGAGTGTGAGTGGGGAAGGGAGAGAAAGAGAGGGAGCCACAGAATCCCAAGCAGGCTCCATGCAGCCACTGCAAAGCCCTTCGAAGGGCTGGAACCCACAAACGTGAGATCACGACCTGAGCCGAAGTTGGATGCTTCACTGACTTAAAGACAGTGGCTCGAACCCAGATTCTGGGCAGAAGCTACAGTGTGGAAAAGCAGAAAGGAGAGAAGGCATTTCTGACCCAAGGAAATGCACAGAGCCCATTCCGAAAACCCAGCAGTTTCCGAGGGGCAGGTGCTGCTTGTGGAAGGTCTGTGGGATGATGCCATGTTGGCAACAAAGAATTCCAGGATGGGAGATCTGGGGCGGGTGGAGGCGGTGGGGGACAGAGGGGAGTCCCTAAGTTGGTTGAATATGCTGTGTTTGACGGGCCAGGAGTCTCTCCTACTGAGGGGAGCCTGTGGGGAGCTACAGAGGGACATGTGACTCAGGAGGGGGGGCCAGGACCAGGGGGCACATGTGGGGGGGCGTGAGCTGGGAAGGAGCCCACACCCCACATACACGGGACTGAGACCACCAGCTCCATCTGACTGCCACATCTGATGTAACCGACTGTCCACGTGTGGAAACTTCCAGAATTTGTGATTTTCAGGAAGGCTGGAAGTTGGAAATTTTGAAAAATAAATATGAAATCTAAATATTTTGACACGGCCACTAACGTGAAAACCTGAAAGCAGCCTAGGTAAAACCAAAGAGCAAGGGGGTGGACTGGCCGAGTTCCCTGGGTCGCCTGTGTGTGACATGTGACCTACGTGATGGGTGACGGTTCCCAGCGACAGCCTAAGGGTGAAGCAGGAGAGAGGGGTTCCGGGGGGACACAGTGACAGAGGGTTTGGGAAAGAAGAGAAGTCCAAGCCACCTGACTCTGTGATCTTGGGCAAAGCCACCTCCCTCCTCTCTGTCCCTCTCCTACCTCCCTGCCTGCCCTTCCCTCCTTTGTCCCATCCGCTTCCTCTGGAAGGTAGGTAAGGATAGAGTCCCATTATGAGGACTCATGAGTAAGTGCTTCAGGAGGAAACCGAGGCATCGGGTGGAAGGAATACAAATAATTCCAAGGATGTGTGTGACCTTTTAGAGTGTGTGGTTTTGGTTCACATGATACCTCATTTCCCTTTACGGATTCCCCCCCGCAACCAACCACGTGTAAGCACCTCATTTCCACCTCTCTGCGTAAAGTGCCTTTGCCTGAAGCCGTACGCCATCGCCCCTGTGAGAGCCGCGTTTGCTTCTCATGAAAAAAGATGTGTGCCTTTCAGCTCACCTCTCGGTCCAGCAAGGCAGGTGACACGACGGTGACGATGTCCCCTTTTTCAGGATCGATGTAGAACATGTTTGGAGACGGCTTGTCAGGCGTCTGCTGACGGATATTGTACCGCAGAAGGGCATTATCTGTGGCCGGGTCATCGGCATCAAAGGCTGTCATCCGCATCACTGTGGTCCCTAAGGGGGGGGCAGGGGAGAAGGGCAGGAGACGGTCACTCGGGGGACAGCGATGGGCAGAGACCCCCCTTCCCCAGCAATCGTCAGAGACTGATGCACCAGTCACTTTCCAAATTAAAAAGGAAAGCATTTCCAGAACCATGTTGTGTTTTTGCTTTTCTTTGACTCTCCCTCGTCACATTAAAAGACCTGAAATAAAGAAAAGAAATCTTTGCCGTTCAGCAGACTGACAGCTTAATTTTTCCTTCTGCTGATATGCTGTTTATTTTCACGGGCTTTCATTCAATTGTGAATGTGGCTGCATGACAATGGCCTTTATTTTAAAAGCTCTTATTAAATGCCGATTACATGTGGGGTTCTGGGCTGGGTGATGAGGAAACAGAGGTGAGGAAAGGCATTCTCTGGTGTCCAGCAGGTCGGGGGTCAGTAAGAGTGACAGCAGATTAAAAAAATAGCGAACCGTCACAAGTGCATTGAGAGACAGCATTATGAATACATAAGAGAACAACTTCATCCAGCCCGAGGTTCAGGAAAGGTTCCAGTGCAGGTGCCTAAGGAGTGAGTAGGTGTAAGCCACGCGAAGGAGAGGGTCCTCAGTGGGAAAAGATGTTCCGGTTAAAGGGAACGTGACCAAACGTTATTTCAGCCCCCCACTATATGGCAGCCACACTGTCATAGGCGGTTCAGAGATGAAGACAACATAGGGATAGAGGAGGACGATGGCAAAGGTTGGTAAGGATGTGCGACACCGGGCTGGCTCATACACAGCTGAGACGCAGAATTGGTGTTTGCCACATTGGAGGACTTTGGAGCAGCAACTACTTAGATCTACCCTATGACCCAGCAACAGCACTACTACTAGGAATTTACCCAAGGGATACAGGAGTGCTGATGCACAGGGGAACTTGTACCCCAATGTTTACAGCAGCACTTTCAACAATAGCCAAATTATGGAAAGAGCCTAAATGTCCATCAGCCGATGAATGGATAAAGAACCTGTGGTTTATACACACAATGGAATACTACGTGGCAATGAGAAAGAATGAAATCTGGCCTTCTTGTCAGCAAGCGGATGGAACTGGAGAGTGTTATACGGAAATCAATCGCACATCACGAGAAAGACAGACCTGTGTTTTCACTCTTATGTGGATCCTGAGAAACTTAACAGAAGACCGTGGGGGAGGGGAAGGAAAAAAAAAAGGTTAGAGAGGGAGGAGCCAAACATAAGAGACTCTTAAAACTGAGAACTGAGGGTTGATGGGGGGGGGGGGGTGGGGGGGGAGGGGGTGGGTGATGGGTATTGAGGAGGGTACCTGTTGGGATGAGCAGAAATTTGACAATAAACTTCATATTATAAATAAATAAATAAATAAATAAATAAATAAATAAATAAATAAATAAAAATATGTACCCATTTGGCATCTACTGTCAAGAAATATTTGCATGGAGGGGGGCGTCTGGGTGGCTCACTTGGTTAAGTGTCTGACTCATGATTTCGGCTCAGGTCACGATCTCACAGTTTGTGGGATCGAGCCCTGTGTCAGGCTGCACGCTAAAAGTATGAAGCCTGCTTGGGATTCTCTCTCTCCCTCTCTCACGTGCGCGTGCTCTCTCTCTCTCTCTCTCTCAAAATAAATAAATAGACTTAAAAAAAAAAAAAAGAAACACTTGCGTGTGTCGACAAAGCGTTCTTGCAGGATGTTCACTGCAGGATTATCCATCATGGTGAAAGATTTGCCAACAACCTCACTGTCCAAACAACAGAGGATTTGCTAAAATGATGGGATTCCCGACACTATGAAAAAATTTGTAGCGGGCAGAAAAAGGTTGGAGGTCTAATGTGCTCTAACATGGAAGGCTCTCTAAGAGTACCATGTGAAATTATCAGGTTGAAGAATGTTACCCATAGTATGGTATCATTTTTGCGAACCTGCTTGCACATAGAAATTGCCACAATACTTTATATGTATTTTGCAGATACAGTTTATGTCCATAAAAGCATAGAAGGTCTACGAAAGTGGACTTCACATGGGTCATGGTGGTGAAGGGGAGCAAATCTCGCCACCCAAGATATGACTCTTTGGCATATTGATCGTTTTAAGCTGGTTATTGTTAAAAAGCTGCAGTCACAAGAGAAGTTCTGAAAATCAAGAAGTTACACCTTTTGGAAGGAACATTTACATTTGTAAGGGAAATCTTCATTTACTGGTATTGCCCTCGGTGTACCAGTAAAAGGAGGATGACTCTAAATCTTGACAAACTCTTATCAATGGAGAAGGCAGGGACTTAAACCCGTATAACAACCCTACCCTCCTTGACTGTACTTTTCCTGGTCACCTCCCATAACTCACCCCTCTCCCCCTACGTCTCCCCATCTTTAGCTGAAGATGGTATTTAAGGTGATGGCTTCAGCCATTTCAGGAAATGACTCCATTTGCCTGTGCCTCTCCCATGTACGTAGGACGTATACAGGTTGCTAAACTTTTGTTCCATTTTCTCCTGTTTATCTATCTCATGTCAATTTGATTCTTAGACCAGCCAGAAGAATCTTGAAGGCCAGAGGAAAACTTTTCCTCCCCAACAGCGGTTAAATCTGGGAAAGAACAAGGGGGATTGGGATTAAGGATGGTGATGAGGAGGTAAGATTTTGGTGCAACCTATAACGTTTTGATCATTTTTACAAGGAGAATGTATTACTTTTGTGATTCAGTGTCAACCTAAAAAGATCGTAATTATGAATAATTATAAATACTGCTAATCTAAAAAATAAAACAACCGGTTATTCTACTAGCATAATGGGTTACTCAGGAATAGCAGAGAATTACAATTCCGGACCTGGAAACTACTGCAAAGCCATAGGCAAGTCCAACAAACAAAGGAGAGTCATGTTATTTTATCAAGAAGGAAGAAGTTGGGAGGGGTTGTATTGAAGGAAAGTCCACTGGAGAAAGGCAAGAGTTCAAAGTGATGACAGTTACTCATCGGTTGAGTTGTAGGGGTGGTCGATTTCTTGAACTAGATGCAATGTACATCCTTCCTTGTCGGGACCTGTAATTGATCATTTTTTCTTGTTGATGATTCTTCTGTTGTGTCTCTATTGGACAATTCTCCTATAATTGATATGGAATGGTGCGCTCCCCTTCCCAACCTTCTCCTTGCCAGCCTCCCTGCTCCACTTTAGTGAGGTTTCCCTGTATTGACTTCACAAGCCCAATAGGAGCATGGGGTAGAACAGAATCAGGCACATTTACCTGCGGGTCTTGAGCCATCGTATTTGGCTTAGGGCGACCTGCCAAACTATATCTTTTCGTTGTAGTTTACTCTTCTAAGAATATAGGGCCCACCTGTGGATTCTGACCCCTTCTGGACCCACAAAATGTGGGTAATGTGAACTAACGGGTAACAGATGAAAGCAGTACCGTCCAATCGTTCCCAGAAGTATTCACATGTGGAAAATATTGAACCGTAAAGTAAACATGAAATTCATCTGGCTCGGCTGCCATCCTGTTATTCTTTTTCCATCTATAACAGTGCTTCTCAAACCATCCAAAGCACTTTACTTTTTCCCCACAATCAGAATCAGATTATGAGCCATTAGGTCTGACTGATCAAGCAAATGAGGGGATCCAATCACCCTAAGGTTGAATGGATTTCTAGAGCCGTCTCAGTGTTGCCATTAGGCCAGATATATCAGGCACATTTTCTACTCTACCATGTTTCTTTGCACTTCTTTGTTTCTTTGTGAAATCGTCCCAAGGCAAACTTCCGGGTCCACGGCAAGAAGAGAGAAATCTTGGGGGCGCCTGGGTGGCTCAGTCGGTTAAGTGTCTGACTTCGGCTCAGGTCATGATCTCACGGTTTGTGGGTTTGAGCCCTGCACTGGGCTCTGTGCTGATGGCTCAGACCCTGGAGCCTGCCTCAGATTCTGTGTCTGCCTCTCTGTCTGCCCCTCCCCTGCTCACGCCCTCTCTCTCAAAAATAAATAAACATTTAAAAAATTTTATATATAAAAAAAGAAATAGGTCTTGGCTTCTGCCCCTACCTTATCTTGCCCCTTGTCTTTGGAAAATATTAGGAAACAGTCTGGGACTTTGTTTCTCATGGAAGCACACAACGGAATCAGGGCCTTTTCTCAACCTGCTGGTCCAGGCAGCCACTCCCTATCTAGGGACACTGGTGTGATGGATGACACTTATTTGCCTCGCTGGTCTAGGAGGACAAGACACTTTAATGAGGATCCCTTCAGAAATCAGAGGCAGTTTTCAGGCCTATAAACTCGCCAGGGACGTGCTAAGCGAGTTCCTTGTGGCCAGAGGCATGAAGGAGGCCTCAACACTATCAATTCCATAGGAAATTGTCTCTGGTTGAGTATGTATGACCCAGTGCCTTGCACTTTGTTAATGTCCAATGAATGCTTGACTGATGGAGTCTTTGCCCTATTTAATGTGCTTTTAATCGAAGTCCTAGATGAACGAGCAAAATGACGTCTAAAAGTGAAGTCGTGAGGCTTGCATGTGTCACGGCTCCCATTGAAAGGATAAGGGGAAGGAAAAAAGATCTCGAGGCTCATGGATTTTCAATTTTCACCAGGAAATTCACTGATGATGTCTTTTTTGGTGGTTATTGTTACAGATTTCATAACCTAACACAAGGTTATACGGGAATGTTCCCAAGTTTACCCAGGAAGTGCTTTTTATTTTAACGAATCGTTTGGGAGCAAATGAACTTGATCTTATGTGCTGCCTTTGTCCTAGCCCAGATGTGGGTACAGAACAGGATTAATGTCTGCGGCCCACCTCCATAGAGACTGAATAACGTCCTAAGTCTCATCAACACATTTGTAGCATTGATGAAAATGACCTTGGGTGACGTTTAGGTTCAAGTTTTGCTGTGTGAACATGGGCAAGTGATTCAGCCCTACCCAAGCCTCAGTTTCCCCAATTGCAACAAGAAGATATTAGTAACACTTTCCTCTTTGGTCTTTGTAAGGTCACATGGGA